ATCCTATCCTATATCGTTTCATTGCCATGGTTGCAATCCCCTCCATGCATCACCCCCGGGCATCAGCACACAGCTCCTCTCCCTCTCTGTGTCTAAAGTCCCCAGCTGTTCCATCTCTCCACATCATCGTCTCTGCCTACATCTCAGGCATCACTGTTTCTCTGGGTAGGGTCCCGCTCTCCACTGTTCTCCCTTGATGGTCCCAGGGACCTCCGCTCCTAGACTGAAACATTAATCACTCCCTCCTTGCTACAAAATGTCTACCTTTACATTTCCAACCCTCTCAATCAGTTCTGATAACAATTATTCACTATTGTATCACAAGAGACCTATCCACATTTCCTTTCATCGGCTCCACCTAGACAGATTGGATACTACTCAGGGGAGATTCTACCTTTCTCCACACCCTGTGGATCTAGGTTCCCTTTTGAAAGTTTGAAAGCCACTTACTTCTTGCCTTTGTAGCATACCCACCTTGGGTAGCCAATGTCCAAGTTGCCCACCCCTGTCTACTCTGTGTATGGAGGGAGTGGGAATGATGCTTGCTGTAGAGACTTGTTACCTCTTTTTTTTTCATTTTTACTTATTTTTATTTTAAAGGGAACTTTTTATAACCACCATGAATAGCAAACACTACCTAACACAAGGAGAAAAATGATTCTAGCTACATATTACTTGGTAAGGAGCTCTGGTAGCATAGTGGTTACGAATCGGGAACCGCAAAGTCAGCAGTTCGAAACCACCAGCTGCTCCGCGGGAGAAAGATGAGGCTTTCTGCTCCCGCAAAAATCTACAGCCTCGGAAACCCTGTACAGGGTCGCTATGGGTTGGAACCAACTCGACGGCACTTAACAACAAAAACATTACTGGCGGTGGTGGTTATGTGCCACGGAGTAGGTTCTGACTCCTAGAGACCCTCTTTACAGGGTTTCCGAGGCTGTAAATCTTTACAGGAGCAGAAAGCCTCATCTTTCTCCCACGGAACAGCTGGTAGTCTCGAACTGCTTACCCTGCGGTTCGTAGCCCGATTCATAACCACTACGCTACCAAAGCTACCTAGTTGCTGAAAACTCCTGGCCTGAGCCTATTATGACTTGACTTAAAGTGGACATTAGGACGTGCTACATATTCAAGACCCTCTGGCACCCGCGTGAGCTGTTTCTCAAAATCAGAAGGTCTGAAAGAAAACTGTAAACGAAATGGAACGTGTCTTCCCAATTAAGTCAACATTACCAATTTAGTGTCTGGGTAATTCTGCTCACACGCCCATACAGACCTCATCTGCAAGGCGAAGTGAAAGCCCAACCCCGGAGGCCCGCCCTGGAAGGCGAACAGCTGAGAGGTGGAGGCTCCCGCAGCCTCCTCCTCCCGGGGCTGTCGGGCCAGCGCTGCGCTTTCGCAACCAGCGCCCATCCGCCCAACCTCGGTCAGCTCGGCGCCCAACGCCAGGCAGTAGGGGCATCTGTGGCCCTGTCAGTGCCTTCCGCAAGTGCTACCACCCGCTGGCAGGCGAACTACCTGGGATTAACTACCCGGAAGGATTAACTACCCGCAGGATTAACTACCCGGAAGCCGCTATCCTCTTAGCTAACTAGCACCCACCCCCACCCCCCACTCCCCGCTGCCTCCTTGTTACCTCTTTTGAGCTACTGCATTCATAGGTGTAGGTCACGTTCATCGAATTGTATCAGATTACTCTTTTTTTCCTTTTCTTTCTTCTTCTGGTTGAGCTCTGATCATCCAGTTATTGAAGCTAGGTCAAGTGGGTACTATCTGTAAGCATGGGTATTCTTATGCATATGCCCTCTCTTCTTATCAGCTGGATG